ACTAATTATTGTAATATATATATATATATATATATATATATATATATATATAACATGTATATTATGAAAATATAGTGTATAATTTACTTAACAATAGCAGTTTGCCATGAGATTTTAAAGTGATTTTAACCAAAAACAAATAAATGGTGTGATATCCTTTTTACATTTTTAAAAGTCAGTTGGGATTGTTTTAACAACTTACTTCCCCTGTATGATTAACTAATCTGATCTTATATTTGCAGAGTGTTTTCACTATTTTAATAAAACCTGGTCAGGTTTGAAGAAACATCTGGTTTCCTATTAATCAATACTGTCATTGGCTTTGACATTAAAAATTGCATATGCTGACAAAAAAACAAACAAATAATAATAAACACAATTCATGCTTGTACTTCACTAACCCAATTATTTTCAATAACTTGCTACCCTGAAATGATACTTCTTCCTTAATTTCTTGATCAACTAAAGCAGCTGTTGTCACTGGATGAAGCATAAGTTATAGGTTTTCCAAGTTTAAATGATAAATTCACACTTCAGTTTTATACATACCATACAGAAATGGATAAGCACCAAATCTTTACTTGTTTTCTTCTGCCAATATTTTTAGCTGCAGCTGAGTGACTTCTAGAATGGCTCAGTTCTTTTGTGTTTTTTTTTCTAGTACAGACTTTAAGCTCACAGCTCCATCATCTCTTGACCGATTTGAGATCTAATTAGAGTTTTGGACTCAGGATGTTAAACCCTTTCGATTGATGTATTTAACCATTCCCAAGTTCTCACGGATAAATTTACTCTAATCCTGACAAAAGAATTTCAGGTAAAGATCCTGATGAGTTATAAAATCGAATCAAGTATTCACATGCCCCATGCATGATATTGCTATCGCACAAAAATATAGCTAATAAAAAGGAAGAAAAGGTCTCATAGATTAATTTACTCTAATCCTGCCTAAAAGAATTTCAAATGCTATGGCTATTGAGGATTCCCTTTTGTTTAAATTACTCTTACAACAAAGAAAGATTATTTAAGATTTATGGGTACAAAACAAGTTAAAATAGTTGAGATATTATTGTTCTTGTTTCTAATGTATTCAAAAATAAAATAAATTATTTCATTTTGAACTGTATGAATTATCCACCACAAAAAAAAACGGCTACATATGCCAACATCTAGATTTAAAGACTCTGAGATAGGTTATAGAGATTAAACTACCAGATACACAAGCCAATGCATGAAAATAAAGACTCTGCAAGTCTGAAAAGGATTTGAGACAGTTTGACCTCAATACAGAATGCAAGATATGACAGATAACTTGGAATATCAATATATTTGTACATTGGTAGATTTTAGGACATGCCCAGGTTCTGAAAAGTTTGAAAAACATTCATTAGTACATAACTTCATCTTAATTAAACAATGCAATTAATAAGGTAAGAGTGACCAATGCTTTGCTTTGTGTGTTAATAGTTATAACTTGCAGGTATTAGGAATGTTTATAAGTTAAGGGAAAATATCTAAAATTTTAAAGGGATGAACTATGTACTTTACATTCCAATAGTGTCAGTAGGAATTTTTCTTTTTTTTATATATCTTAGAAGCTGCACTAGCAGGATTTGAAATTAATTCACATAAGAATTCTAATATTCTCTATTTCTTAACATGGTTAATGGTATTTCATAAAGAACTGTCATTTACAATGTATTGCTAAAGTAAGAACAAGGAAACCGTATTCTTAATTTAATCCTAATGAAAACTTCAAGTGTTAATGCCTTTCAAATGTATGTAGTAGTCTTTAAAGCTAGTTATAAATATTTAATTTCATAAAACTAATTTCTTTTCTACATATTAGCTTCATAAATCTTGTATGAAAAATGAAATAAAATACTTATTCTTAGAAATTGAGTACTAAATTTGATAATTTGGTATCCCTCTACACATACATGCACACACTTCTCAATTAGCAAGAGTCAATACATTCTTAATTCTGGTGAGAATGAATGTGAGGTACTCTGAGGTCAGTTGACTGGACATGATTGTAGTACAGAAGTATGTATGCTGTGATTGGTTTGTTTGGAATTTTGTGCAAAGCTACACAAGGGTTATCTGTGCTAGCCATCCCCAATTTAGCAGTGACAAACTAGAGGGAAGGCAACTAGTCAACACCACCCACTGCTATCTCTTGGTTTACTCTTTTACTAATGAATATTTGGATTGACAATCACATTATACCACCACCACCACTGGTTGAAAGGGTGAGCATTCGAACCCAAGACCTGTAGATTGAGATTTGGGCACACAAACCACCAGGCCATGTATGCTGTGAAATGTCTTTTTTGAAAAGTAGTAAAAAACAGTCTGCATAACAGATTCACTACGTAACAATACAACAAAATCAAACAAACTAAAACTTTTTAAAAAAAACCTTCTTCAAAGAAAACTGTACTAGTTGGACTACGTTTGAAGAGAACGTGCTTAAAGTTTTCCAGAACTTTAGGTAAGCAGAAACACATGTACTTTGTATTTTCTATCTCTGTAATACAGCATCTCATGAATGGTTCAAGCTATTTTGTTACTCAAAACTCATTAAATAAACAAACCTGAACATCTTTTCACAATCAGCAACATTGTATAAAGGAACCAAAAAAAATTAACTTCATAGAACTATATTATCACATTCAGAACAACTGTATGAACACTTAAATTGTATTCAAATCCTTACCTAGTAACAGCTCTAAATATGATTTACAAAACAAGCCTAGGAGTCATGAGGTTAATGATGTGTAATCCCAGATATTTCAATCAATGACAACCAGAGGTCTCTTCAAAACCAGTTTTGTTTTGTTTCCTGTTTAAACTTTAATAACTGAAGTTACTCAACACTTCTGCTGATTTACCAAAATCAATCTTAAGATAAAATTAGCTCACTTCTCAGACAGTGCCCATGGATCACTCCACTTATTGAAAGTACCAGAGACCCCAACTTCTTTTCCTTCTTGTTCCCAGGTGAAGACAACTGGCAAAGTTGTCTTGATTACCACTTCACTTTCTTTGTCACAGGCAGGCTTGCCACTATCTGGCTGTGGAAAATATATTCAAAATTAATACTAATAAAGAGTTTAATATTTTAAATGAAATATTTTCTGGTGTTAAATTAAAACTATTTTTAGATCTAGCACTTTAATCATGAGATTAAAGAATGTATTTATGAGTTTGTTTTACTTCAAAATCACAGAGTATATACCAGAAACATGTAGAATTTTAACTGAAAAGCTATTCTGTATATAGTTTTATGCTAGACTTCCAGTGTCACAATGGCAAATAAGCAAAGTTTTAATTACTACTGGTAATTCCTAAGGGATCTACTAAGTCAGACATCATACCAAAAAACTAATTTCATTGCAGCTAAAATCAATTATTCATTCCTCAGAAATGTTCATTTTGCACATTAAAGCAAAGATTATTCTGTTAGATAGCTTTGGTATGACTGACTTATGACCTATATATTTATAACAATTATATGAGATACTTACTACACCTCTACACATATTTAATTGTTTCACAAGAAAACAAGACAGTCATCTCAATATCACTAAAACCTATCACAGTTAGGGCACTACTTTAAAGGTATTTTCTCAAAAATATTTTGTGGAAACAATGTTTTAAAATAACAGTTAGGAATTATGGTTTTCTTATAGAATTACCACTAGTCATCAAAATTCAAAGTCACAATAAACCCTATACATTGAATTATTGATTTTTTCTTTTTCCTGTTATTAAAAGTTTAAACATCTGGTAGCACTATTATTTCAGGCATAAAGCTTCATAGTGGACTATGTGTTGTGTCAAGCAGGAGTGGGGGAGGGATTGAACCATGAATTTTATTATTATAATACTGCATCTAAAGTGAGATAGCCCACATTTTCAAAATCAGTACTTCACAAAACAATCGCAAACTATAATTAGCATTCTATAAGACAATTGCTAGACAATAAAAAAACATATTTTAACAGAAGAAAATATGTCATTAGCAAACAGTTCTATTGTATTAGAGACAAGAATAATTTGTATATTAAGCAGTTAAAAACAAATCAAAAGTTCCAGAGATTTGTATACATTGAAAATACATTTTTTTTATTTTTTGTAATTTTAAAGTTTGGAACAATTTAAGCAAGCAACAATTTTATGGCTTACAAGCTAAAATCATGGTCTTGACACTTGTAAAAATCACTTTTTTTCACAATCTTTTAAATATGTCCAGTTTGGATTTCCAACATAAATGTATAAAAACAGTATTAGAGATGTACTGTCCATAAATAGTCACTGCCCAGGAGCATCAGCTAGATTGGATGAGACAAAAGTGTTTGAAATACAATTTGTATATGTAGTAAAATAATTTCAATGTTAAGACTGTGTGAACCTGGAAAAAATATTGTCAATCTTAAGCAATTATTATAATAAGTAACAATTTTCTTTATTTACTAGCCAAGTATTAGCCAATAACAAAGCAGCCAGAGAAGCACTGAAAACAATAACAAGGAACTAGAGCAATTAACATTAATATAAGGAAACAACTGTAATGAAACTTGCTTCTATTACATAAACAGAGGAAGAGGGAAATAAAAAACAGCAAAATTTTTTATGAACTAAGTACAGTTAATAGAAATAATATATATTAGTACATATTGTTATGTAAGAAAGGTTTAGTACCTGATTTTCAGCGTCATTCTCTACATTAGGTTCACTTATTTGTTCTTGGTGTGCTTCCTTTATTTCAATTTCTGATTGAGGTTTTTCACTTTCAATTTTACCATTCTCTTCTGTTTTATGTTCACATGTTTCCTTTTCCTCTAAAGTGCTAGATTCTTCCATCTGTTCTTTTTCTACGTCTTTACCATCAACGTTTTTCTCACTGATTGAAACATCTGTTGATTGTTTTTCATCTTCTCTAGGTTCTTCAGCAGGTTTCTCGTCAACTTGTTCTACGATAATGTTAATTTCTTCACAAGATTCTCCAGGAGGATTCTCTTCAATTTCTTCTTCTTTATTTTCTTTTGTGATCTCATTTTTTTCCAGATCATCAACTTTTGTTGACTTTTCCTCTTTAGATTCTTCTGTGACTTCGATATTATCTTGGCTAACAGGGACATTTTCAAGTGTCTGATATGCTTCTTTTGCTGCTTCTTCTATGTAAGGTTTTTCTAGGTCTTCATTCCGTTCTTTAACAGTAGAAATGTCCTCAACTGATTTATCTGAAGAATTTACAACAGACTCTTTTAAGGCTTCTGTTGTTCCAGATGTTGCTGAAGGCACTTCTTCACTGGCGGTGACATTTTTGTCAGTGGAGACATCTAATTCATCTGTAGATGAAACTAATTTGACTGTAACCTCTACTACTGGTTTTTCACATTCTTTGTCCTCTATGGATGCAGATGATTCTAAGGCTTGTTCTGTTTTTTCTGGAACATTTTCATCAACAGTGGCAGGTTCTGTAGTTTCAAACTGTTCTGTTTTTACAGAAGATTCTTCAAGATTGTCAGATCTAATTTGTGATTCACTTGCTTCAGGTACAGGAACAGAAGGTTGTTCTGTCAGTTTCTCAGAAGATTCAACATCTTTTTTGTCATCACTGGATTCTGTTTTTTCAGTATCTTTTTCATGACCTTCATGGGATTCTTCTACAGCAGCATCACTTGGTTTCACCTCTTCTGGTTTGGTGCATTCTTCAGCATTGTTCTACAACAAGTACTAAAATTATATATACATTACAGACGCATACAAATTCCATTCATTCACATAATGGTGAAGTTACTGCTTAAGAAACTATTTTTTTTAATACACCTTAATTGACAGTATTAGGTTAAGTGTAATTTTAAACAATATATTTATAAATTTCCCTTCACATAAACTTGATCAGTATATATATATATATATATATATATATAAAAAGCTATCAAGTACGAAGAAATTATTAAGTGTACTATAAGAGTAAATTCTGGCTGGGGTAGGATGGAATGAATGAGGACAATTTCTGTAATAGGTTAATCAAATTGTATGTAAAGAAAAGCCCAAGCAATATTATTTCAACATAGAAAAGTCTAAAAAAATGTATAAGTAAAAACATATGGTGATATGAAAACACATACAAGTTTTGCAAGTTACATTACATCACATGTTAAACATTGAACACACACACACACATATATCATACATTGGAATTTTATATATCCCTAGAATCTAAAATATTTGAAAGTAATAAAAAACTTGTTTTAGGTAGTTAAACATTATGTAGTAAAAAAAAATATTCTTATCAATTTCAACTTCATATATTTTTTTGTTTGGATAAGTTACATTCATATAAATATTTACAGACTGTGTATCATAAGCTTATAATAATATACCAATTCAGTGTGCAATTACAATAAGCCAATTAAATAAACCAACATATCCTAGTTCCTAGTTATGCTCTACTGCCAGTAACTACATAATATTTGCATAACTACATCAAGTAACTGTATAGAAATAACCCAGCTGAAAAGACTAAGGCCAGGAACAAATTTAGTACTCCTACACTCAGAACAAAAAATCTCAAGGTTAATCACTCTGTACTCATTCTGTCCTGCATTTATAGTAATAATTATATAAGCATAGGAACTGTATTACTACAGAGTGGAAAACAAACATTTTGGTTTCACTTGTTGGAATAATAAAAAAACTATCTTATAAACTGAGGCTTGATTTTGAGGAATCACAAATTGCTTGTTTCACTGGCTTTCTTTACAATAATGATATACATGTCATTTGAGCCAGCTCAGCACAAAAACTAAACTTTTATTAGGATGGTCTTTAATATCTTCCAAACTACATGTGAACATTTTTAGACTGATAAGTATGTTTAGTATCAGTTTTTCTCATGTAATCAACCACTGAGTACAAAATCTAATGATGGTTAAAAACTATATTATGACAAGTTAAAAAGTTGATAACAAGCACCGAGATGAGTTTAAAAGGATACATAATCTTAGGTTCCTCACCTACTGTACAAAATAAGTTATTGATGTACAGGAGTTTTAGTACAGTTGTTTTTGAAAGATTCTTTTAAAACATGTGTGCATGTGTTCACGCATTATTTGTGAAGTAAAGTAGTCGAATATAAAAACAGTTAAAGTATCACTTCCCTATAGATTAATGAACATCCTATATGATCAATGTTTCTTACAAGTGTTTCAATCTTCTTACCAATAAAATATTTATATTTTAGTTAACAGACAATTTAATCTTTTACTAAAATTATACAATACGAATTTCAAGTGAAACTCAAAATATTTAGAGTTTACCAATATCTAGATAACTACGATTACATGCACTATTGCAATTATGAAACCTAAAAAAAACATTCAACATTGATTATATCAATCACTTCTTGGATATCATATGGGGGGGGCTACTTTTGATTTGAAACATCTGTTTAGAAATTAAGATACTTATAAAGGGCATACTAGTAAATATTAAAACTAAAACTGGTGCTATTACAATTAAAAAATTAATATGCAATATTAATTTTCATGTATTCTAAACAGACTCTAGTTAATATGTAATAATTAGTATCTGCTAATAAAAATGTTTCTTTTCATTTCAATATTACATCAACTGAAAAAGAAAAAAAAATCAATATTCTGGAGAAGCATCTGAATCCTAAAAAATAAAGAAAACATGTGGTAATGAATTTTCACAGATTTACTTCATATGCCAAGAAAAAAGGGGATAATACAATTTGTCTTGAGCCACATTTTTCACTGGTATAAAATTTTAAAACTGATATGAAAACAAAATATTATTTAAAACTTATGGCCAAAAGTGTAGTGGGGTAGGAACTCGTGGTTGTGACATACTTGTACCTTTTTCGTTTTTTGAGCTAGAACACTGTTCCGCCACTATTTCGAACGATTCCCACTTAACATGGTTAAACGCATTCTAGCAGTTCATTATTTAGCACTACACCACTGCTTATGCCATTGTATATTTTGTTAAAAAAGCAAAAACAAAGAAAAATTAAAATTTTACTTCAATAGTGTTTCTCCATGGCTAAATAACTAAGCACATACTGAGACACTGTATCTCAACTATTCTGCCAATCAACATTTTCAAGTTCCCTATCTATGATCTACTTTATCATGAAAATATAAAAGCATGAATATAATAATATAAAACAACATTATTTCACATGAAAGAAAAAATGTTTTATACAGGAAGATGGAAAAGTTACACAATCCCACAATTTTTCAAAATCCTGCTTTTATAGCTGTTCAAATTGTGCACCACTGTTATTAGGAAACAGGATCACTTCTACATGTTTCTAATAAGGTGAAAAACATCTTAACCAATTACAATGTAACAAAAGAAAAAAAAAGACATAATAGAGGTAGGACTTGAAAATAACATGGTTGTGCATAATTTTTACATCACCCTGTAGTTTGATAGTATTTCCCATAGAATATTTTAAAACTTTTCTTTAGTAAATGGACCTAATCACATCATGGCATTTCATTAGCAAAACACTTACATTTTATGGATTCATTCTACAATTGGATCAGTTATTATAAATCGAAACAATTACCATTTCTATTAACTGAATACTAAATCAAAGATATATTGGATAATCTAGAACTGTGGTCCAACAGTTCCTGATGATAAATCTAGCATTACATCATTTTTAATAGGCTTAAAACTCGGAGCTGGTTAATTGCCTATAGGAGGTATAAAGAATGTACTTGAGACAACCAAAGAAGAAATACATTTTGTTACTCGGCTTGTTTACTTATGTATAATTCTTTGTATAACAGAAGCAGAAAATGAGTTTTTGTTATCTGGTAACTTATGTATTTTCTGTAGAAAAAGGAAATTTGAGACACTTAGTGCTACCTGTTATTTTTGTATTTCTTGCAAAGCATGGAAATAGAAGATACACACAACATAATTTCTTCAAAATACAATAACTCAACTATTCTCACGAGTACCAATCTTGAAGATTCAAAAGAAACAACTTAATTTTTTGACACAATCACCTCACTACATGTTAAGTATGGCATGTTTATGCACTAATGAAACAGAATTTAATTATTTCATGTAAAAGTGAATCCTATAAGTTCAAACTTATTAAATCTCATCATTTCACAACATGCTTTTTAGTAATATAATACATAGAGCTGTATATCATGGTAATGAATTAATTGTTTAAATACTAGAAATAAGATATAAATTGTATATCAATCACCTACAGTAAAGCATGTTTCAATCAAAACTTTACATAACTAACCACTAGTACAAAAGAGATATACTAGCAACTTACAAATAAAAACTACTGCCTAACAAGGATGCATATGACTCTCATCAAATTATGACAGCTTCCCTCCCTTCTAGCAACTATTGTGAATTTTAATATTGTAGAAAGCAAGTAAAGAAAAACAATCTTAAATTGGTAAATTGCAATTGACTTCTTCATATTATTAGCGAGAAACCTACAGTATGTTCAAGTTGTAAATGTAGAAAAGTACTTCATCAATAATTCTAGTAGGTTCAGTGGCAATGAAGAAAACTCACAAGTGATACATACTACTAGCTGCCAATTACATTCAAAATTACTGATCTATTAGATACAATGTAACTAATTCTTTTGTGGAATCACATATATGATGTCAAAAATGTAATTGTATCTGTCTTCACTTCCTGTCTCTTTCATTCTTTGTCTTATTTCATCCTAAAACAAATTATTTGTGTTTGCAAAGTTGCAAATATAGTTTGTAAATGTTATCATAGTTGTATAAACTCTACATTTAATTGTTGTCTTTGTTCACTCATTAAGCCACTGTGTAACATTAAACAAGGAACAGAAGCAGTATCTTAATACAGTATTTGATTTTTACTGTTTAGCAACTAGCATGATATAGCTCATGGATAACAGTGTTATGAAAAAAACATCTGTAACTGCATATACATATAAAAGGAATAGCTTCAAAACTATTATATCAGTTACATTAATTATCACCAGGTGATAGATGGGATATCCCCAATGCTTTTGGGTGCTATTACCACAGGCAATCTCCATCATGACCTTTAGATTACGACTGGAAAGTGTGATGATTTTTTAAAATAGTTTTAAAAAAGTGTGTAGTCCATATACACTTAAAAAAATCCAGTGTAGATATTTCATCCACACTAGCAAGCATAGAGATAAATAATTCTAATCTGTGTGTGTGTGTGTGCGTGTGTGTGTGTGTGTGTGTGTGTGTGTGGACACACTCCATACTAATATTACAAAAATTATTTAATTTCTTAATTAGTGAGACGACGACTATGATATATAAAGAGACGCGTATAGAGTAGTAATAAACTAATTATAAGTTAATACTAAAAAAAGAACTAAGTACAACAACTTACG